TATATATACATATATGTGTGTGTGTATATCATATATTTCCTTTCTTTAATTTACCATTAAAAAATGCAATGGCTTGTCTGTATCTGAAGGGTTTCAAGTTCGAAATTACCTGGCTAATATTTAATGATGAATTTGAATAATAATAATATAATTTGTTATCCAAAATCCTCGTGGATTCCACAAATGTAGTCATTTGACAAGAAAATCAATTTCAAAATCCATGCTGCCATGTGCACTGTGCATTTGAAAGTTTTCTTTTATCAACCTCTTACAAAAAATTAGGATATGGATCTAGTAAAGATACGACAAATAAATAAATAAATAAATAAATTTATAATGGGCCATTTTACTAGTATGAATATAAAAAATAAAATAAAATTATATGAATATAAATTTATAATACATTGATATGAGAGACATTGATGTATATGTGGGTGTATTATTAATTTTACTAGTTTTTCCCTCTCTGACCGTAAAACAAAATATAATAATTAACAAAATGTCTCCAAAATGACCATGAACACAAAGGGCCATTTAGACTTAAGATGAGATAGCATCAATTGTTCATGTATGGCGGGCTTTAGCTCTGTTTTGTTTCTCCTTTATTTTAGAAGTTAACTCTCTTGGCATCTTAATTTTCCTTATTGTCTGCATATATATATTTCAAATTTTGTTTATTTATTTATTGTTTTTGGGGTGGGGCTTAGACTGAAGACTTTTGTAAGGTTTATGTAAGAATTTATGTAATTTATGTATGTATTATTGATTGATTGTTGTTTGATATGTTGATGTATTACAAGATTGATAAATTACAATTCCTATACAATCTATATATAGAAGAAAATGTGGTAGTAGGTGTAGTGGAGGTGATAGTGGGTTAGGTGAAGTGTGAAGACTTTTGTAAGGTTTAGGAAGTTAGTTTATGAATGTGGGAAAGACTCTAACACTGGTGTTTGGAGATTGCTTGGTCATGTTGCGATTAAGATATTTGACTGGACTATTTAAGAACAATGGCTAATATATTTTGAAGTTGGGGGTATTCATTAAAATATGCACAATACTTTGTCACATGAAACAAAATCTATGATTTAATTAAAAACAAGAAATAAAGTTCTATGAGGGTGATCCAAAAATAGTGTCTTTTGCAGCTACGGTTCTAATCTTGCATTAGATCGCCAACAAGTGCTTTAATCCTTTCAGAAATCCGAAAGTAGTGTTAACATTCTTGGCTAATATGCCTCATAATTTAGTGGGTGGCAATACTAATCTTCAGTATAATGTGTTAGCATTCTTCTGCTGAAATAATTCTAGTTTTTTTTTTTTTTTTTGAAACATTTCTACCCAAGGGATTCTAATTTCTGAGCATATTGAGATGTTTATGACTTGCTGTCCTGGGGTTCAAGATATAAATTGCTGCGGGACTGGAGGTGGTCTTGTTAGCCTTCCTTTTTTATGGCATCTTTGTACCCAAGACTATGTAAGGAAGCATGTTTCATGGTGATAGCTGCTTGGGACAAAGTACTGATGGTCTGTCACCGGATCAGCAGGAGGTGAACTTTTCCATAGAAATGTAGATGTGCTAAGGGAAACTGTGAACAGTGAATCAACATATACTGTCTTCCTTATCATTTCTCCTTCCTCCATGGTATTCTGTGTAGCCTAATCCAGCGCTGACACTTTGTTATGTCATTCATGGATTATGGCAATGGTGACATCCCTTTAATCTAGGCTTGAAGTAAGGTTCTGTGGTCACTTTCACTATCACAATGTCCCGACTAATATCTGTAAACAGTTAATCTAATTTGTGATATTCTAATAATAGCCAACCCCTACAACCACCTTCCTTTATGCGATCAGCATTGCCAACCTTTGACATTAGTATAACAACACCTTTTCTTCCATCATACTACAGGTGGGGTGTGGATACGGGTTCACGTGGGGCCTAAACTTGAAATTATGTTTTATTTTTTCCTATGTAGGAGTGAATTGAGGCAAAAAATCTCTTTTCATCAGAAGAAGCTGAAGAACAAGCTAAAAAGGAATCTGCAAAGACATTTGTACCTAGTGAGGCTCCAAGTACCCCAGAGGAAGAAAAAGATTAGCTAGTTCCTTATCTTATGTATTTGTTACTAAGTTCTCAAGTAGAATTACATCATATTGTCCCAAAAAGCGCCTAAAGCTACTAAAACTTACCTAAATTTCTTCTATAATGGATTGAAAGTTTCTTTTTAAACATGTAAATAATATAAACTCTAATTTGGCTTGGACTCTTTATTTTTGAACTTACAATGGTGATGGATAAAACCTAGACAAACCTAAACCTCATGCGTAGAGATCCTTTAACATAATTATTATGCAAGTCTCATGTAGGTGCTGCATTGAAGTAGATTAATTTCACCTCTTCCTCTTTTTAAATTTAATTTTTCTCTTGAACTTCTTATGGCCTGGATTTAGTAGCAAACTATATTTTCCTATACAAACTTAATGGCTTGTTTGAAGATTCCTACTCATTTCCCTCTAGAAACATTATCATTAGAGGTAGCTTTATTTGAGGTATGAAAAAAAAAAGGTTTTGCTTTATGTGGATTTTATTTGCATATATGTTGAGACTATTAAGATCTTGAAATTTTGCTAATTTTTCATTATGACATTGTTTTTTTGGGGCCATTGAATTAACTTATTAATTTTGGAAATGTTTTGTTGACGTTTTAAAATTTCTTGATCATTTCTTAATACCTTAAGAAATATTTTTGTCCCTAAGTTGTTGGTTTTTGTACTTATGTGAAGTTTCCATTGTCATGCAGACAAGAAATGCAACAGGGTTAGTTGCTCCAGCTATTGCCGTGGGTTTAGGTGACACATACATTGGGCACCCTCGTCCCTCCGATAGGAGCAAGTGGATTTGCTACAGTTGCGGCTGCAACTGCTATAAGAACTATTGTCGGTAGTTTTAGATAATCTCTTAATAGTTGTCGATATGTTTAGAAAATTAGATATGCATAGTTTTGGATGGTTTATATTTTTTGTACTGTTTGGAACTTAAGGATATAGTTTTCGAATGTTTGGAATATATAGACAATTGTTGAATGTTTATAATTTATGGATATAGTTTCTTTTTGATGTTTCAAACAATATTTTAGTAGTTGATTGATGTTTTGTGATGTTTGTTTGTAATATTTGTTAGATTGTACAAAATTAGTCAAATAGAACCTGCTGAATTTAAAAATATATAAAAAAAAACTGCATATTCTACGGTAGACATAATAAGTCGTCGTATTACATATTTTATGGCACGCAATCAGCGTCGTTATTTGTCTCACCAATTAATGGCATACAAAAGTAGTCGTAGAAAAAGTAACGACGATGTACAAAATATGCCGTTAAATAGTTTTTAACGGCGTATGAAGCATGCCGTTGAAAGTAAATGACTTTCCATGACTGGTCATAATATAATGCGTGCTGCATGTTGTAGAAGGGTTTTTACGACGTGCAATGCCCGCCATAAAAATCCTTTTTTGTTGTAGTGTAACAACCCAAACCCAACAATGATAGAGATTGGGGGTGTTTGTTTAAGCTTTTCAGAGCCAACTTATAGCTTTTAGCTTTGAAAAAGTTATTTTGGACTGTTTGGTTAAACTTATTTCAAACAGCTTCTGATTCTAACAGTTTATTTTAACTCAAAAAAGCTGATTCTGAGAAGCTGCTCACCCCTTGCTTCTGATTATCAGCTTCTGCTGTGGACATGTTAATTTATGGTTATACTCTTAAATTTTTTTATTTTTTATTTTTTTAAAAATAGAAAAAGACTCAAATAGACTATAGATTATTATTATTATTTTTTATGTGAAATGTAGACAAACAAAAAATAAAAATTAATTAAAAAAGCTATTTCACAGCTTATTTAACAAACATTACTCAGGAATTTAAATCTATAATCCAACAGCTACACCAAACAGATTAACAATTTCTGATTAAAGTCATAATCTATAATCTGTTAAGTTATAATCTATAAGCTGTTTTAACAGCTACACCAAACGGGGCCATTCTATCACTCAAATACTATTTGAATTATATATTTGAATATGAATTTAAAAAGAAAGAGAAGACTTGCCTAAACAACAACAAAACAAAGATAGATAAGGAAAAAAAATAAATAAATAAATAAAGAGAGGACTTTGCCTAAACAGGCTTATATTTAGGGGTATTCATAGGTCGGTTTGGTTCAGTTCGATATTAAATTTAAAATCAATCCAATCATGATTGGTTTCGAGTTTTAGGATCTAGAACTAAACCTATCATGCAATAGAAGTAAACCAACCCGGTCTAAATGTAGCTTGGGTTAGTTCGGTTTGGAATCACGGTTCCCCCAAATTAAAAATAAATGAATCAATTAATAATAAATAATTAAAATAAACAAGTCTTTAACATTTAAATATAAAGCAAACAAAGAGTCAAATATTATTTAATGCAAATCAATGCAAATTAAATCCAACTCAAGTTTAAACATAATCAATATAAATTAAATCAATTACGAAATTCAACTCAAAATTCTAATATTTTCTAAAATTTTCTTCGTTCACCTAATAATTCATATATGTGGGAAATTATTAAGTGCAGTCAAGTTTATTGTAATAGACTAATTAGGTGAAAACATGTTAATATAAATAGGTTCGGTTATCGGGTTGGTTCGATTTAGGCAAGGCCTAAATCAAGAACCAACTCGATCCTATCAGTTTGATAATTTGAAAATATAGAACCAAACCAATGCACTTAGAAACCAACCCAATCCAATCCAATCCAATCCAATCCAACCCAACCCAACCCAACCTGTGTCTTCATGGCTCATGAAGCTAAGGCTAAGCAAAAAGGAAAAAGGGCCAGTGGGAATTGGAAATTCAACATATCCTTCTAGCATTTGTATCACTGCCTTCATTGTAGGCCTTTTCAAAGGGTTCTCTCGAATACAACAGAGAGCTGTCATGACCCATCTGCGCAACATCATGATATTACTCATTGCTGCCTCATCATTGTTCATGAGTGGGTAATTTTTGGGAAAAATTGGGCCGAGCTGCGAGTTGGGCATTGAGGCCCAAAACGCGAAGGACTAAGTAAGAAGGCCGCAATAGATACTCCGGCCCAGAAGGACAAAGTTACTTCGGCCCAAGGAGGTGAAATTACTCCGGCTCAAGAAGAGATATTTACTTCGGCCCAAGGAAGAGTAAAACTACCCCGGTCTTTAGGCAACTCACAGTTAGGCCGGTCTCGGAGTTAGTCCGGTCACAGTATGTTCTGAGAAGGCCGGTTTCGGAGTTAGTCCGGTCGTGACTTACAATGGTTAGGTCGGTCAGAACTTGTTACTTGGAAGTTTGATCTAAGTACGTCAAGGTTGAACAGAACAGCCGAAGTAATGAGTTTGAGGAGAAGACCGAGCTAAGGATAGTTCGGCCCTCTGTGGCTCGGTATAGCCAACTTTACTTCGGTCAAATGGAAGTTCGGCCATAAAGAAAACCATCCCACTTGGTTTAAGCAGTGGGGGAGGGTGTAAAAGGATAAGCATTATCCTTTGGAGTATGAATCCTAGGAGGACTCTGCATGGAGAAATACAAGTCCTACTAGGATTGTGCCACGGGAAACTTATAAAAGCCTACAAACATCACCTTGGAGGAGGTAATTGAACACAATCTTTCTGAGAACTTAGAGCTTTGTCTATTTGTCAAGTTTTCTGACTTAGGCATCGGAGAGGTTTCCGGCGCACACCCGCCGGCTAGCTCACGTTTGTGTTTTCAGGTGACAAAGCGACGTCGTACGGAGGAGCGTGGACTTGGTCAACAGGATTATACGAGGAGAATTATTTCCTCCCCGTACAGTTCACCAAAGCTTCTAGTCTTTCTTCTATGTAGCAATCATAAGCCCAATCTCAGTATTACTCTTTCTTCTTCCATACATTCCATTGCCACACTCTTTTTACAACAAATGATCTCTAACAACACGACATCGAAACTTTAGACATCCACTTTAACTGTCACGGGTACATTCTTGAACCATTCTGGAGCCTTGTATCGAGTTCCTCTTATCCCAGTATGAGTCCGTGTTTGATTAAACATCAATGATTTTGCCAATCCAAAGTCAGAAATTCATGCTGTGAAATATTCATCGATGCGTATGTCTGGAGGCTTAATGTCACGATGGATGATTGGGGCACTACATTCTTCATGCAAGTACAGCAGCCCTCTTGTGATCCCCAAGGCCACTTGAGTTCTTAAATTCCAATCAAGTCTTGGAAGCCCAAAAGAAAATTAGCTAAACTGCCATTGCTCATGAGTTCGTATACTAATAGTCTGTAAGGCCCCTCATTGCAGTATTTGAACAATTGAACTAGATTTTGGTGATGAGTTTTTCCAATTGCACTCACTTTGGCTTTAAATTCCCACTTTTCTTCTTGTGATAACTTGTGCGACTTCTTGATTGCAACTTGATTCTTAGAACCAAATTTCAGTACACTTTTATAAACAATGCCAAAAGAACCCATTCCCAGTTCTTCCTTCAACACTTGGTGTTGCTTCTCTAAGTTCTTCAAAAGTGAAAACTTCTCTAAGTTCTTCAAAAGTGAAAAGACGCAAATTTGTTTCAAGAGCATTAGAATGTGTTGGTGGGAGTGGGATATCAAACCACTTGTGGTGGTGCAAGAAGAAAAGAAAAAAAGAAACTGAGACTTTTGTTGGAAAAATAGTACCAAACTATAAGGAAAATATAATTAAAAAAATATGTAAATGGTTTTTGGGCAAAACCAAAATTGAAATAAATTGATAAAATAACGTAACAAAATTTACCGTAAACAAAAAGATAAAACTTGAGATCGAGTCGAGTGCGTGACATTCTCTCCTTAAGACAGATTCATCCTCCCACCGGTGCTTAGGATTCAATGAGCATCTATCTCTCAGGATACAACGATCAATACCTTGCACTAGCAGCATTACTATTGCAAGCCTAGAGAACTTCGCTGTGCATATACTCTCTTTATAGTAAAATTAGACTCAGAAAATATGAAGAATAAATACAAAGTGAAAAAGAAAAGACAATTCTCTATCTCATAAAATTAGACTCAGAAAATATGAAGAATAAATACAAAGTGAAAAAGAAAAGACAATTCTCTATCTCAAATTGAAGTGAAGGGGATAGAATTTATGGATTCCTCCATGACTCTTTAGAAAGGTTATGACCCTTCAAAAGGACACACCCTCCTATGTCAAGAAACACAACCATTAGAGTAAATTGTAATTCAAAATTTCCAATCCCCCACATGAATGAAATTTACGGAAAGGATATGCAACAACATGCAGACAAAGAGAGAGTACATTAAGGAAATACCCTGCATCAGGATAGGTAGCTTTTGACTTTGAACCTTCCCTAGTGAAAGCTTATTGGACTTACTAACTAATCAGTGGACGTGCTGCCTTGAACTGTTTAGCCGTTTGTGTAAGCCAAGACAATAGAATTCACACAGAATATCTCCAAACACGACTTAGTTCTCACGGTTGTGCCCGTTTTGGCCTTGGGCATCTCCTAGTGTTTCATGAGTGCTTTAGAAAATTTAGTCTTATCAAATTTCATAGAAGTGGCCCCTTCACACTCATATAGGTGATCCTTATTTCAAGTCTCTTTAATACTCCTCTTGAAAGATACCCCTTTAGAGTTTTCAAGATATAAGTGATTATTGAAAGCATAGTTTACCCTAAGTTCCCTACATACAACACATGTTGCAGATATCACTCTTATCATAGGAATGGATAGGAGTTAGGCTCCTTTAGTGATTTCTGGTGAGCCATACATAACTTAATTGTCCCTTTGAACTTAGTTCTTGGGATCTCCAGTCATCTAAGTAGGGTTACCATTATGATGACTCTGATGTAATAGGCTTTAATCACACTCCCCTCGATGAACTTTCCCTCATTTGCACTTTGGTCAAACTTTTTATTTAGCAGCCGCTATTATTCGTTTAACCTTCTCAGTTATATATCATTGAGTAGTTAGTGGATCCATTATATTATCCTTAGATAATATTTACAACTGAAAGGAAATTTCCTACGATATTAAGTCTTTGATTATATCGAGACTTAC